ACCCAATTGAAGAATTTCTCCGCTTTTGATGGGTCTTTGTCTAGTCTCTTCAGTATGAACATAACAGCTTCGTGGCTCGGTGGAGAGTCGAGTTTCTCCAAGTTTTCCTCAATCTCTTTGGACCAGTCACTGGATAATACAAGATCTATAACTGGTTCTGGTTTGGATGAAAACAGCTTTCTATAGGCATTGAAAAAACTCGCAGGAGTTCGAAATTGAGGTGTGAAGGAAGAGAGGTGAAAGGACTGAGTCACCTGAGGGCGAGCCCAGCTACTTCTGCAGAATCCAGTCCTGTTGACGGAGTATGCGAATCGGAGGCAATCGAATACTCTCTTTGCCTGATTCATTCTCAATGTGGCATGGCAGTCTCTTTGGAAGGTCGTTCCTCTGTCAAACGCCCACAACTCGAACTACACAATACCAAAATGTTGCACATTTTCAAAATCTATTACTTTGTCATCTTTAGCATCTTTGAAACTTTTCCTTTTAATTTGTGATTCCTGTTTTTTAAAGGAAATTGTGACTCGTGTTATTTCCTTCTTTTTTGCACTTATCTGAATTACACAATTTTTATTTTATTATTTCCCGCCCCGGTCAAACATGACAAAGTATTGAGAGACAGATGAAGTACTTAAGACATTTTGTTTCTTGTATATGCAAAATTGCAAAGACGGGTGTATATGATCCCGAATTGTCTGTGCAGGAACAATTTACTATTTAAGCAGTTAATTAAAATTAATTTTCTATGCACAGAGAATTAACATGGGTGTGTAAATCGACGTGCAAGTGAGCGTGTACAAGTAATACGGTTGATAAATATATATTGAAACAATTTTATAGCTTGGGTTAATTAGTCAAATAGAGGGAATAAGATGAGTGAGATTAGACAATTGGGCATCGGCGCATCTACGGTCTGCGGAGGTTTGGGGTCGGCGATACATTCGCTCGACGTATTGGTCACGGTCAGTAGGAAATTGTTGCGCGCGATTAATCAATCAGCGTGTACGCCTTAGGGAAGACCGAGTTTTCTTCTCGAAGGCTACAGGGGGAGTGTTCGTGGAAGCCTCTTGCTCGCTTCCAGTCTTAACGAGGGCACAACAGTCCAACGGTGGATGGAGGACCAGGGTGGCGTCGGATCTGGCTGGAGGAAGACGAAAGATTATCTCTTTGTCATGATTCAGTCTTTCATTGGTCAGTGCGTTATCTGTACAGTATGTCAATTTTCGATGTGATGGGATCTAGTAGTATGACGCCGGGTGTGGTTTAAGCAGGGTGTCAGGGCAACGACAACATGCTACATGGGGCCATAGGGGTGAGAGGCTTGATTCCCAAATACTTGGTTTGGCTATTCTGGCTCTGTTGGTTATTGAGATCGAAATTGCACCAACCAACTGTGTTTGATCCGGGTGGAACAATGGTGGTTTGGGGTCTAGAGATAGGACAATTTTAGATTCCAATCGGCTAGGTGGCTGATCGGTGCAATTGTTTTGGCTGAATCAGGGGGTGGCCGCCTGGGGTTGCTTATTGGATGTGAAGGGTAGAGATCAACTTGCGATGGAGAGGTGGCTGATGCGGCACGGAGAAGTCCAGATTCAAAGGTTGGAGAACGAAGATGAAGTGATGATGATTTCGTCCCCCTCCTGAGCCGCCGCCATGGAGGAACAATGCGGTTAGGGTTTGGGAAAATGTTTTATTAGTTATTTTTTGTTATTTTCAGTCCAATTTGTTTTACTATTTCTATTTTGTTGTTTTTAGGATAAACAATAAGGGGGGTAGGTTGATTGTTTTAGTGGTTAGATTTCTGGATGGAGGCAATCAGGCAGATTTAGCCGTTAATAGCCTCTTAGCTCTCACCGTTTCAGCGATTAATCTCGCTCCTAGTGGGGTGGACTAGTCTATGTTTGGGCATGACGTTAGGGGGCCGATGAGCTTTTGGTATTGTGGGTCTAGTGGGAGTTGTTGATATGGGGTCTTGATTGATGTAATGATTCGTTTGATTCTAATATAAATAAGTGTTTTCCTTAAAAAAAAAGATGAGTGAGATTAGTGAGTCAACAATTTTGGTCTATTTTTTGTGGATAAGTTATTGGTGTACATATTCTTCTAAAGTTTGAATGACGCAAACCATTTTTTTATTGAAATGTCTATATGAAGAGACAAACTATAAGCAACTAGAAAACATGTGAGAATTTTTCAATGTACATAGAAGATATACTTTGTATTTATAGAGTGAAAGATAACTTTAGTCAGTTGCAGATTTGGTCTTATAAGTAATAAATTTGCTTATATTATCGACTTTTTCACTCAAAAGTACACTTATCGGCAGAATTTTGACGGTGATGACGTTTTTTACCGATAGCTTTTTTGTCGGAAAATATGCTTTTAGGTGAAAAACTCTTTATAATGGACAATTTATCAATTACATGACAAAATTTTCAAGTGAACAATGTTACACGACTAATGACGGGCACACTCGAAATGTTACGTGACTAAGTTGCAAATCTCCCTTACCGAAATAAGGGAAATTCCCAAAATAGGAATTCAATACTACTCCCTCCATCCCAGCTTAAGTTTTTTACTTGCCTCTTTTGGACGTCTCAGTTAAAAGTTCTCATTCTATTTAGAAAGTAATAATTAGCACTCTTAAGTGACAATTTACCCATCCAATATTAAAAATAATACTCATCAAAATTATTTCTCAAAGTATACCCGAATGACCTTATGTAGTCATTGTCTAAATAATCGTGTCAATGAAAATCTTAAGTCGGGAAGGAGGGAGAAGGAGGAGGAGGAGAAAAAAATTACATGGAGACACGTCGGTTGGAGTAGAGGAGCGTGGAAGCAGATATTACCTGCGGATATGGGAAAGTGGAGGCAGAAGAGAATATTAGTGGATTTGGGAACTTAATTACACCAAAGGTAAAATGATAATATGGAGTTCTATTTGGAAACTTTGAGCATGGTTTAGTTCTATTTAATACCATTATTTAAAATATTTTGTAACAATCACAAAAGTGAAAGGTGACAAATTTACAAGGAATGTGCTTCGTGTGAACTATCCACTATGGAATATGGAGCAATATAAAGATTCGTTGTGGGCAATTTCTTAAATATGTTCACTTACATGTTCCAGAAGGTTGAATCCTCAAACACGAGGACTCCCACGCCTCAATCCGATGATGCATTTGAGATGTTATAAGTCACGGTGATGCGATCAATCCAATGATGGTAGATCTTGTGCACCAGAGTTCCAGGGCAGCACACATGAGATGTAACCTTCACACGACCTTTGTGAGTTCTGATCCTTATCAATGTTCCAACTTTCACACTACTCAATCAATTGAGCTACCCGTGCTGGTAAAAAAAATTTGTTCACTTACATTGTTTCAAAAGGTCGAATCCATAATCTCAAGGAACCCATGCCTCGATTCAAAGGCATTTTGAAGTTTGTAAGTCACCATGACTCAATTAATCCAATAGTTGTAGACTTTGTACTCGTGCGCACTTGGTTCAACACAAGAAATTGTAATGGTCAGATTCTAATCTTTAGTCAATATTCCAACTTTTCCGCACCTGTCCATCAACTAGCCTGCGGGATTATGTTCACTTGCATTTTTTTGGATGAAATGTAAATATATATTAACACCCAGAAAACTATACGTCACATAAACTAGATCTCCTAACCCCCCCCCCCCCCACACACACACATAATGTGAGGGTGAAAGGAGGTTTTTTGTTCGATCTACTCTGTGCCAAAAAATCACCAAGTATAAATACTTGGCACATCTAGAGGTTCAAAAATACGTCGGTGCTGCCAAAGCACGCACACAGATCATAAAATCAAAAAACAGAATACAAAGGTGTTGCAAGATGCATACACCCTAAAATCCAAGACCCTGCTTCATGTCGCGGAATCCACGATGCCCATGCCAAGGTTCCCAAAGGTGTCCAGGCCTCGGCATCCAATATATCCATGCCTCGGCATCCAAAACACTCATGTAGCAGTCTATCCAAACCGCGACATCCATAATATCCATGTTACGGCCTTCAACTCAAAAGGTAATCAAGTCATGTGGGTATATATTGAAAAGTATTTTATATACCACATGCTTAATTTTTGCGATGACCTCATCTTCTTTGACATCCCCCTCATCAAATCTGTTGGCATTCCTAGTGTGCCATAGGTAGTAAACCGCGGCACAGAAGGCAATCCGGACAGCTTTCCCTTTGATCTTCGAGCCTTTATGGTCCTTCAAAATCCATTTGACCGAGCTGCTTAGAGTGGTCATCTCCCTTGTTAAGCCCAACCAATTCTTTATTTTTTCCCATACCCTACACGTGTAAGGACAAAGAAAAAATAGGTGTGACATAGTTTCCAAGCCACCCTTGCAAAGGTCACACTGGTTAACCATATGCAAGTAACCGAGTTTATCCTGTGTAGATAACCGGTTACGCAAGGCAAGCCAAACGTTAAATGAGAATTTGGGAGGAATATAAGACTTCCAAACAAAACTCATCCAAGCTCGAACCGTCCCTTTAGTTCTCAATAATTCATAAATCTTTCCTGAGACTAGTTTCCCATTCACGGATCTAGCACTTAGACCCATTATGGTATCATTTAAATTGTTAAAATATCCCTTTATTTGGTCACGGTGTGACTCAATTTCTTGATGAATATTGAGTCATGAATATGTTCACTTGCATAAGGGAAAGTTCTCGAAATAGGACTAAAACAACTTGAAAATTCCAAAATAGGACTGTCATGTTTTTTATTCCCAAAATAGGAGTAATTACTGCCAAGTTTGGAAAATACTGTCATGTTTGAAGTCTGTTAATGCCAAAACATGGCAGTAATTAGTCATATTTTGGGAATAAAAACATGACAGTCCTATTTTGGAATTTTCAAACCTTTTTAGTCCGGGTAAATTCTCCCTGCATAATTACATGGGAGGGAGCAAGTGGACTCTCATTTGAGCGCGCTACACCCTCAAGTTTGCATCTTGTCTTTCCATCAAACCTTGATTGAAGTTCCTGCTTTACCATCAAATTCAAGAATACACATTTACATCTTTTTGAAGTTTGAGTCCTTTAACTTTGATGTGATTTTCTTGGTGTCCCTTTCCACCGTAGAAAAGCCCTAGCTAAGTTACGGTTTCGAAAACCGAATTGCTCTGTCAGTCGGAGCTCTCTTGGAGTCAACCGGATACGTTACTGGATTCGGGTTTCAAGATCGATGGTTATCGGAACCCTAGTTTCTCTCTGTTTTATTTGTGATAAAAGACTGATCTTTAAAGGAAGGTAAACCGGACGTCGTGTTTGGTTTGTCGGCGTCAGGTTTTCTGCATGGATTCGGGTCTAAATGATCTGAACTCAAGTGAAAGTATAAGGTGGAACGGCGCTATTAAAGTCTATACTAGGAGGGCCAAAAGAAAGGCCGCTATTCTCACCGCCGATGATGACGGAACAACAAAGGCCGAAACCACTGCCACGGAGGGGGCACCGCAGACCCATTCCGAAATTGATACCCAGAAGGAGTGTGTTGATGTTCATGAGCCGAGTAGGCCATCGGTTCATTGTGTGGGGACTGAGTTAACCAAGCCTGTAATCAGTAGGGTTGAAGATAGGGTTAGGATTCATTTTTCAGGAGCAAGGCCTCTTGATGAGTTCAGGGACCTGATCAAGAAAGTAGAGACTGAACTCAATCAGGTCAGGGATTTAGTAAAGAAACTGGAAACAACTGAACTTCAGCTATCTTTGCCAGACAATGGTGTTGATGTTCGAAATAGAGATACTTTTTGTGCTGTTGCTGCTGATTCTGGTGCTCTTGGCCGGCCACAGTTTCCCCCGAATTCTGCAGTAAAAAATAGAGCATTGGTGAGAGTGAATTCAGAGGCAAGTTCAGTGAGGCATCAAGATTTTAGGCACTTTAGGCCACCAAGTATTTCAGTTATTGAAAACAATATTGGGGTTGGTGAGCTTGTGGAGAAGGAAAGGAGAACCCCAAGGGCTAATCAGTTTTATACAAATGCGGAGTTCGTGCTTGGGAATGGTCGGTTTCCTTCTGAAAGCAATAAAAAGTTCAAGCCTAATGGTGCCAGGAAGAAGAGTGGTGGAGAGCCAGATGATGGTTTCAGTTTGAGTGTTGGACCTTATAACATTAAAAAGAATAATAGTAATGTGTTTAGGAATTGCAGCTCACTGCTTCAGACGTTGATGAGTCACACTTATGGATGGGTGTTTAATAATCCAGTGGATGCTGAAGCTCTTGGCCTACGTGATTATCATGATATTATTAAGCATCCTATGGATTTTGGCACAGTTAAGACTAGGCTCTCCCAGAACTTTTACAAATCTCCATTGGAGTTTGCACATGATGTCAGACTTGTGTTTCGGAATGCCATGACATATAACCCAAAAGGCCAGGATGTTCACATCATGGCAGACCAGATGTCTAAGATTTTTGAAGAGAAGTGGGTAGCTATAGAGGCTGATTATAATCCAAGTTGGAGCCTTCAATTTTGTCATGACTCAGATGCCAAAATGAAGCCCTCTTTTTCTTGTAGAACACCAGTTCTCGAGAAACCGAAAGCTAATGACTTGAACAAAAGGGACATGACATTTGAGGAGAAACAGAAACTTGGCACGGATCTTCAGACTTTACCTCCGGAAAGGCTTGATGAGATTGTTCAGATTGTCAAGAGAAACTCTTCACTTGGACAGCAAAGCGACGAGATTGAATTAGATATTGACTCTGTTGATGCAGAAACACTTTGGGAGCTTGATAGGCTTGTCACCAGTTGTAAGAAAAATTTTGGCAAAAATTGGAAAGAAGTCAAAACTATACAAGCTAGACCTGCTCAGGCTGCTCTTGAAATGGTAAGGGTATGAATCCTGGTGCCTCATTTATCTTTCATTTTGTTGTTTATCTGGCAAAACCTTATATTATAAAATGTCATTTCAGCTTCCTTGCCCTGTGGTTGACCATTCACCGAAAAAAGACAGAAGTGGTTAGTATATACCTGGAGTACTGAATAATGTGCTTTTTCAATGTGAAGATATTATCATCCAACTACTTGTCTTGCTCCTGTTCCAGGTGATAAATTGGTGGATAATGCAACTAGGTCTAGTAGTTCAAGCAGTTCCAGCAGTGACTCTGGATCATCATCAAGTGGTAAGTAGTTATTTTATGTTGTTCATATAGTATAGTGCTTGTCCGGTTTAATGGATATGTCACCTTTTCAGCATTATGTTTGCAGATTCTGATAGTGATAGCTCCTCTGCATCTAAAGCAGATGCGGTACATTCACCTAAGAGTTGACTGAGCTCCTGATTGAACAGAGAAAGCACTAGCTCTTTTTTGGTAATGGCATTGGCAATTTTTATGATTTTTGTACATTAAGTCATATGTGCTCTTTTTTATATAAATGTTGCAACTTTTCTTTGGGTGCATATGCTCTAGGTTTTGTTATTTTATTCCTAGTCCATAGATCTTGGTGTGATTTCTAATTGTGCATTTTCATTCCTTAATGGCTATGGTACACTATGTATAGATATCACAGTTTGCTTCAGGCTATAAGTAAGATGTTTCTTGCCCATTAGCAGTGTACAGAAAAATAAGAGTAGCAAACTTGGCTTCAGTTCACCTTATTTGTCGTGTCTAATTTTGACGTGATTTTCACCATGGGTCATTTGGAAACAGCCTCTTTGTACTTTAGTACAGGGGTAAGGCTGCGTACATCCGACCCCCCCTTACCCCACCTACGGTGGGAGCCTTTGCGGCACTGGGTAATGATGATGATGGTGATGACCTACATTTGAAGTGGTATTGAACATCTAGATTTTTAAATAATTTGATATGATAGACAAAACGTTAACCATCAATTCGTGTATACTGTATATTGGACTGGTTTTTGAATTTGATAGGATATGATAAGGTGGCATTCAACATCTTGAATTGATTCAAACTTGTTAGTTTTGCAGTAAATAGCATGGTTGGTTTGGAATGAATCTGCCTACAGGTGGGTCGGCTGCTGCTCTATTCAGAAACTCAGGCCGGGTTGACTTTTTGGAGAGCTGCACGGCACCACTCAGCCGTCCTTGCCACCATAGAATTGGGATCTATGCTTGATGATGTGGTGTTTTGCTTAAAGAAATTTGTGCAGATGAATATTTAATTAGCTAGCTTGCAGATAACTAGGTTTGCCTCTAGAATCTTGATAAAAATGCGTTTTTGTATGTAGCCTCTAGAAATTGTTTGCTGTTTAGTTGAAATTTTCAATATATTTAGAGCACAAGGCCTAGGCTTGTACCTAAACTCAGTTTGCATGATGGGTACAAATTTCAAATAATGCCCTCCCAGACAAATGCTTTCCCAGTTTCCCAAATCCGATCATCACTAAGTTCAACTCTATTAAGTTTTAAATAATGGGTAAGATGTTAAATGGTAAAATAAATAAATAATAAAAATCTTAAAAAATCAATATGTAAAGTATATTGCCCAAGTGTTAAGTCTTAACATTTATGGTTGATCAAGTGTTTAAGGCGTGGGTGACCGTTACTAGCAACTTTAAGTTATTTTAACTTCCTCCTTGAATATGATTTAAAAGTTTGCAAAACGTTTAACTTTCCTTTCGATTATGATTTATGGACTAAAGTGAAATTTTAAGTTTCATAAAGAGAGTGACTATCTTTATGAAATTTTTAAGTTTCATAACTAATGACCCCTCTTTTCCAGATTTAGATGTAAAAGTAACTGTTCACTAATCAAATTGCATTTTCTTATTGTATTATCTTTAATATCCTTTTTGACAACTCGTTACTACTTGACACTTGTTCTATAGAGCTTTTAACGTGACCTTTACATATTACGGAGTAGTAGATTTTATTTGTGCGAATGTTTATATTAACAATTACAAAAAAAATTGTAATTGTTATTGTTTGTTTGAATTTATTTGTTATTGTTTATCAAATGCCATGTTCATTTGATTAATAATAATGGTTGTTTATAACTTTATCGCTTTGAATTTTTCTATCAGGTAGTCAGCTTTGAATTAGTGATATGTTAGAATTAGTGATTGAATTAGTGATTGTTGACATATAGAGTTTAAATTGTTTGAATTGCTGACTGTTGACATATATGGACGTTATTAAGTAAGCATTACAATTCACTAGTAATACGTTAAATAGTCCAAAAATATGGCAATATTTATTCGATATTCACCTCGATCCGTCACCATTATGGGTTGAGCATTCAAAAACTTCCTTAGTACACAATTTTTTGGTTATTGAAAACACCGTTCACGGACAAAACATGTAAAAAAAATAACCTTTCACAGACACGTGTAAAAACGTCTAAACAGTAAAACGTGTTCCTTATCATGTATCTTTTTGGAGTATAATAAGGAGTAGGCCTGGACTCGGGCCGGTTCGGGCCCGGTTCGGGCCTGGGCCCGGCCGGGCCTCGGGCCAGGAAATGGGAGGCCCGGGCCCGAACCGCCGGTGGCCGGTTCCGGTCCCGGTTCCGGGCCAAACCGGGCCGGGCCGGGCCGAACCGGCCCACTTTTTTTTTTTTGTTCTCCTATTTAATCCCCTACCCCTCCCCCTCAATCCCAAACCACCTCAAATGGCCCAAAATACCTATTCCAACCCAAAACTTTAAAAAAATTTCAAAAAAAAAAAAATTAAAATCCGGCCCGGACCGGGCCCGGACCGGGCCCGAACCGGCCGGGCCGGTTCACCATTTGGAAGGCCCGGGCCCGGAACCGGGAACCACCGGGCCGGTTCGACCCGAACCGCCGGTGGACCGGGCCACCGGGCCGGGCCGGTTGCTACAGTGGCCGGGCCGGGCCGGTTCCGGGTCGGGCCGCCCGGCCCGAGTCCAGGCCTAATAAGGAGATATATGATGTGGTGAGAGGGTGAAATGCAATCCAACTTGGTGCTACATAAATACATAATGAAAACAAAGTACGGAGTAGCAATAAAAGGATGACTGGCGTGGAAGAAACCCGAAATCTTGATGGCTCAAACTCGATATTTACTCAGAAATAGATCATGTCAAATCAAGTGGATGCCTCAAAGTGACATTATTTAGGTTGAATGGACTTCGAAGGAAGCTTAGGCGGTTGGTGTTAGAGAGATTATCCACTCAATTAAAGAAGGGTGGACAGTGGACTAATGAGCCAATAGAATCACATTAGGGCATCCCATGTGTAAGATTATTTCAAGATTATTTCGATGATGTGTAATATTATTTTAAAAATTGTTATTGTGAGTGAGAGATTATTTAGTGAAATTATTGAAAAAGAAAATCCGGTATCAAGATTCCAATCCCGGATTATTTCAGATTGTAGTTAAATTACATTTAATGCATGTCCAGAAAAAACTGATTATTTGAGTAATATTGTTGATGAAGAATTTTAACCTTTGAGATTATTTAAAATTTATTGAATAAATGTGACGTAGCAATGATGTGTAATAAAAAAATCGTTTATTTAGAGAGCATGAATGGAGATGCTCTTAGCTATGGTTACTATGGGATTAAGGAGAGAGATGAGGCTCTCCTTTTTATGTAATTTTAGATCATATTGACATATGATAAGAGATGGAGAAATATAGGGTCATTCTGCATAAGCGGCATGGAAATCGAGCGACACATATACAAGGTAGATTATATAGAAATCGAGCGACACATATACAAGGTAGATTAGCACGTTGTTTCATTACATGCAGGGACTTCATCTGCACCTATTTGTATTGTTAGTCTATTGAATTTGAGTCATTATTGATGTACATCTTTTTGTACACCTTATATACACATTATATATGTACACACATAACTTCTAAAATTTAAAATTTTAGACGAATTGTTCAAAATGCACGCAAAATAGATGAGAGTGTACAAATATGCACAAGTAGTCAAGTCAATTGGGAAGACCTTTGGAGTGGGGATATGGTGGCTTGATTCACCGTGGAGGGAGAGCACGGAAAGAGCTGGCATGCTAGACCACCAACTGCGCGCAAGGATGGATCCACGATTCTGAGTCAAGGGGGCAAAATTTTTCGGTAGTGTAGGGGGTGAATGTTTTTTGTTAGTGTAGCGGGGTGAAATTTTTTTCCCTAGTTTAGTGGGGCGAAATTTTTTCGCTACTGTAGGGTTATGCAGCTATTTTTATTCAAAAAATAACATTAATACATGCACATCCCGAACGACATTTAAATCTATTACATTATAAGTTTAGACGATGACAAAGACATCAACCAATACATTTTTAATAACTTCTACGTTGTTTAACCTCATGAATCGGTTATTGAATTGTAATTTTTGTCCACCAAGGAGGGTGTTCGTGAGTCATGACTCATGAGAAGTTTCTTAATATTACAATAGTAATATACTAGTATGTATGAGATTGTTATTTTTAGAATAATATGCACCACACACACACACACACAGATATATATATATATATATATATATATATATATATATATATATATATGGTGCATATTATATTTTAATATTTTTATTAATTCTATAATAATTTAGAGTTTATTAGCCATGCAATAAATTATTTTTAGAAAGCAAGAAGTAAATGAATTATGTAATCTAATGTCTATAAATATTTATGTTTTGGATTCATTTCACGTGATCTAAAAATGGTGTAATTAGTGTGTCTGGCATTTAATATTGTTTGATATATGTTTTACGAAATCCAGTACTTGTTATCTAATAAAGATAATTAAACATTACAAAACTAGGAATTCTTATATAAGAAGTATCCTAAATCTTAAATAACGAGTTACTCTATTGTTTATTTGTTTAAGTTATGTAAATTATTTTAGATGTTTCTTCTTTTAAATCTCCAATTAAGTATTATATTATGTAAGACTATATATATTAATTTTGAAAATTAAAAGCTAAGGGGGGCGAATCTAATTAAATTATGAAAGTTTTATGAAAATATTACATATTACATCCATCCCGAATTGATTTGCAAATTTGACTTTTCTTGGTCAAACAATTTCATTTTATTCACTTAATTACGATGTCAATTTTTAATTATGTTCTAATTTGAAGAGATTTTAATGTAGTTTGTGAATATGTAAATTTTAATTATTAAAAATTGAATTAATTATCGATACGGAGCATTGACTTTTATTATTGATTGACCAAAAAATGTTGACTTTACAAAACAATTTGGGACGGAGGGAGTATATGGTAAAAAATAATTGAATGTCCAAGGGGGGCGGTCGCCCCCCGCGCCCCCCACCTAAATCCATCCCTGACTGCGCATGCTAAAAAAGATGGACTCACACATGTTAAAAATCCCAAATTTTTTACAAGTCTTATAACTTTTTCCTTTATATTCCAATTTTTATACAAAAAATATCAAAATTCATATTTTTTATAAGATTTCACATGACACCAATATTGGATATATAAAATTTATAAAAAACTATGAAGTCTCATCTGCTAGAGACTTTTAAGCCCAATTTTTTGTTAATTAGATCCAAATGCTAAAAGTAATACGTAGTATCTTATGGCTAATTTTTCATTTTACATCTTTCTGTTATGTTTTTCAAAAATAATTAAGTTTGAAGTAACACTAAAAAGAGTTAAACTCCAAACTTATTTATTTTTATATTGTAATGTTTAACTTTAAATCATAATTACTCACAAAAAGAAATTTGGCAAAGAAATGATGCTTAGTAAGAAAAGTGACAATTTAATTAAAAACTATGCCGGATGAATACATTAACGGTGCTAAATTGGAGAAAGTGAGAAACATAGGTCTGAACTAAAAAAAAATAATGCACATTTTTTTTATTTTTTTCCAATCGGAATGTTTGACATTTTAAATCATAATTATTGGTAAAAATAAAATTATCACATTAATGATGTGTAATAAAAAAGTAAGGATTTATTCCTTTCCTATTTAAAAGTTCCATACACTTTCCTTTTTGGGATGTATTTAAAAGTTCCTCACACTTTTTCTATTTGGTAAGTTTTTCCTTTGAAAATACTCAATTATTCTTACTTTTTCGCCCCTCTTTTCTACTTTTTCACATTCTCTCCTATTTTTGCTATACTATTCATTACCCTTACTATTCTCCTTTACATCTTGTGCCATAACCAAACGTAGCCATCTTTTATATACGGAGGGAGTCTAAATTTAATTTAAAAAATATGTGTTGAGGGAACATATTAACGATGCTAGATTGCATGGAAAAATCTAAATTATTTGGGTAAATACGTATTGATGGAGTATATTCAAATATCCCCCAGGGGTATAGTGTTCGCGGACAAAGGGTTCTCCATAGACACTAAGTCATTACTCCATTGAGGCCGAGCTTGACCCACCCGAGGTCGGTCCAACATTTGGCGCCCATATTATCGTGATAAAGCT